AGAGAGAGAGAGAGAGAGAGAGAGAGAGAGAGAGAGAGAGTTCTTCTTCTTCCTCTTCTCAGTCCACCATCTCCCTCTCACCCTCTCGCTATCTGCCTTCACTGCATCAGCAGCCTATGAGAGAGCGGGCTTGGTGACATTTGGATCCAGACTCGACATTGGGCTTCAGACATTTCGACGAGGGATTATTTGGGACTTGTAACAAAGACTTGGTGTAGACGACATTCCCATCTCTCCCCCTCTTCTTCATCTGTTACCCTCCTCTTCGTCTGTGCATGCTCTGGACCTGGCGCATTCTTCCTGTGTGTAGCGCCAGGCCCCTTCACACCTTGTGATGAGGATGATGTATGTTTGGTCTGTGTTGCGACATTGATTGGGCTAGTCATTGGTATTCTAGCATTCTGCTGCGCTGTCTTGCACTACGTGATAGAGGTCAGTCCCGGTCAGGTCAGGACTTGTATCTAAGTCTTCCGCTGCGCCACAAGGCGCCATTTTCTATGTATCAGGATGTACCTTGCTTGTTGAGATTCCACTTGCACTGCATTGTCCGTTCAGTCCTTCCTATCACATTGCGGATCCTTGGCTATTTACATACATCGCCCAACTGGGCATGTAACACTTACCCTTCCCTACGAAACGAGGGTTTAGAACTGTGAGCATAGATTGCTTTCTCTCAAATATGTGTGTGTGGTTGCTTTTCAGGTGAAGATGCATCAAAGACTGGCTCTACCTTTCGCTTGCTTTATCTTTGGCATTTTGGGGTCATTGATCAGCCTCCTGATTCCTAGTGATCAACAGAAGGTGAGCCTTCATCGCTGGAACCTCGCAAACTTGGTCCTAACCCCAATTTTGACCTCCATGAGTCCATGGTACTCTCTCAGTGATTTGCTCATTCCTATTCATTCTTATCCTTCATTACGACCTGACTGAAGGGCACTGCTCTGTTCTCACTCAGAAAGTATCGAGGTTGCAGGTAAGTCCTGCATTCTGTGAATGATCTATAACATCATATCACTGTGGTGGTGATCTGCTTACAGGCAACGCAAAGTACTAGTGGCAAGCCCGTTCTCGCTTCCTCTCTTTCTCCCATTCTCCCTTTCTCCCTTTCTTCCTTTCTTCCTTTCTCGCTTTCTTCCTTTCTCCTTTCTTGCTTTCTCCCTTCCTTTTTTCTTAGAAAAAAGATCTTTTT